TGCTCAAACAGCTCTTTTGCCGGCGAGCTCTAAAGCTGCACGGTTTTTACATTCGGGCTCTTATCAAAGGTGGTTTTCCCCTCCCGGATGACACAGTGATAACTTGCTGCAGCCGTGCCAAGGGCAGCAACGGCCGCGGCGCAGCGGAGAGTGTGTTTGAAGTCCCGAGCCCAGCCACCACCGGCCGACAGAACGGGCCTGGACCATCAAGAGAATGGCCAGCCTGAAGAGAAGGAGGTGAAGAAAAATCTCCAGTGTGTGGAGTTTGTCAGAGTTTCAAATGTGTGAATGTCCTTAAATAACCCACATCGCCCAGAGAAATAAGCCAACTGTCACACCCAGTTCTGGATTCCACATTAACAACCTCCTTCCGCAGCGTTAAACTTTGCCCTTTAGGACTTTTGTGTAACTTTTTAATTTGAAAAGCAGATAGGGCCACTTTACAAGCTTCACTTTTTTGCGCGAACTGAAAGGCCTCATTGTTAGCACAGGGGATGTGCAGGTAGAGGTAAATTTAACAAGTTTTTGTTTGATCGTCTTTCCGTTTGAAAACGTGTGAGCTGCGATCACAGTGAGGCTCAGGAGCCGGGGATAAAGTGCATCGTGCAGGAAGGCTGCCGAAGAAGATTCTTGTAAACAATGGGCCTGTTTCGGCGCTCCTGACGCAGGCAGAAACCGTACCGAAGTCAATGAGGCACTTTCAGCTTTCCTCTTTTTAAATATCCTGAATCACAGAGTGTTTCCTTGCTGTTCTGTCAATACAAAGGACCCGATTGTCAGAAGTTGCTGAAGGATTTTTGTGTGTCTGTGCTATCTTCAGAACAGCATAAGAAACAAATAGACTCCGCTATCAAAGACACGTAATTGCCATTTCAGACTTCCTGTTTAGGATTCAGTCAAGTAGATATTGTTTATGGTTCATAAAACCTTACTACTGTGAGGATTCTCAGATAGTGGCAGCGTAGACTTTCAACTTTCATGGTGCTGTAAATTAGGGAAAAAAAAAAAAAAAAAAAAAAAAAGTGTGATAATACTCCTCCGAGAACAGTAAAATAGAGCTCTGCAATGGTTAAATGGAATTTTATAAGCACATTCGGTATGGAACTGTTTTGCATTACATGAGTTGAATACCTTAGAGATGACACACATCTGCAGGCACTTTATTAAATCCTTAGTCAGCACTTTTCAACCTGATGAGATTACTTCTTCATTTGACTGGAGAAAGGGAAGCGACGATCTCGTGCCGGACTGCAGAATTCTTTCTGATGTTTCACCTTGAGTGCTGGGAAGGACGCAGGATGCTCCGCAGGACGGTGCGCACCCACACCGAGAGGCAACCTCAGCTCCAGCGCATTCACTGAGCTCTGAACTCACTGGTAGAACAGTACCGCAAAGTAAATAGAGAGGAAATAAAACACCGTCTCTTTTATGAAAATGCCAGGAGATCGTATCATCCTGACTGTGTTGCGATAGCGCACATGATTTAAATGGAGATTTTAAATTAAGAAAGGCAATACGCTGTTCTCTGGCTGGGTGCAGACGGATAGATTACAGAACGTGAAGGGGTTGGGCGGGAGAGCCCCGCTCGCACCCGCAAGAAGGCAAAAAAGAAGGCGGCGATCCCAGTGTACAGAGCTGGGCTGTGTTCCTCCCCCCGGGCCCCTCGCCGTGCACGCTTCTCAGAGCCCCGTGCTTCGTGCACTTTCCCGGCGTCCTATGGAGGCAGCGAGGTCCCTCTCCCTTCACGGGAAAGTTTCACAGGTGCTTCAAAGGGACAATGGAGCTCTTCAGACCTAATCCGGGAAGACTTAGACGTGTATAGGAGGCTTGAGGGGGATATGAGATCTTAATATTAAAATGATTAGCCGAAAAGGAGGATCATTCTGCGTGTGCGTTTCAGCTGTGAGACGCTCTAAATTAAAACGGTATCCTGAGAGCAGTGCCGGTGGGATCTGATGAGTAAATGCACTCTCTGTCTTGCTGTTCTGCTGCCTCAGCCCATAAAACATTTCATCAAAGCCGGGCTGCGGGAACAGCCAGCGCGGTGCAGCTGTTTGCGAGGGACCTGGAGTTTGGCTCCTTTAAAAGCAGCTTTTCAGTAAAGTCGGTGCGGAGCCCCTGCACAGAAGTTTAAAAAATATCCGTGCAGTTGGGTTTGATCCCGTAAGGGTTAATTAAGTTTTGCATCGGCATTAAGGCCGAGCGGTGTCTGCAGGAGTCATATTGACACCCCGGTGCATGGTAACTCTACTCCTTTATTGACATGTTGCTAGTCAAGAGCACAATAGCACTCTGTGTCTGCAAATCATTGCTAAAATCATCTCGAGAAAAAAAAAAAAGTTTGAAAGCCTAACGCGAGACAAAGGCCCCAGAGCTGCACTGCGCAGCGAAAAACTCTGGAGTCAGCAACTTCTATTGATTAAAAACTAACCTTTAAAGTAACTCTCCGAGTGTGTGGTTAGCATTTAAATTTAAACATGTCATGAGTTGATTTGTGTTACTGAATACCGACTCAGAAGGAGTTACATTCACATCAGATTTTTTTTTTTCTAATTCCCTTAAGCAGCTAAAGTATTTCATGAAATGTCAATAGGGCAGGGGAGGAAAAAAAAGGTGTTTTGGAGGGAGGGGACTCGCGCGGGGCCGCGCCGTTTCTTTTCCCATGCAAATAGTCACCCCAAAAAGAAAAGTGTGGGGAGCGAAACACAATAATTAGGCCTTTGTCTAACTTTCCCAAGTGCCAGAGAAAGACAGATTAATTAAATATACAACAGTGTTGGTTTTTGGAGTGGGGGTCTCTCTCGCTGTGTAGGTCATAAATTAGGCAGAATAAATACTTCAATGTGTGTGCAGCGGGGCTGCTACGTCAGAGCGGCTGGCGGGCGGTGGGAGGGCGCAGCGCGGCTCTTGCTAATGATAGTCACGTCTGGGGCTGTCTGGTTGCTGCTAGCAACGAGACATGATGTAACACCAGGATGAACTTGAACTTGGGGGACTTGAAAAGGGAACAATAGACCAGAGCAATCAATAAAGCCTATTTCAGTGAAGGATTACAGAGCCGCTCTGGGGTAACCTTGTCTGCGAGGCGCAGGCTGAATAGCAAGATGCGTGAAGGAGCGCCGGGCCGTGGGGGAGCGCGGCCGCGCGGGACGGACGGACGGACGGACGGAGGCACGCAGCCCCTGTCGGCGGTGCTCGGCCCAGCGGAGAGGCGATGGGCGCGCGGCCCAGCACCAGGCCTGCACACAGCACACGCTCCTGCCTCGCTGCCTGCTCTCTCTTTCTGAAACCCGTGCTGGAGTCAGGGGGACCTGCGAGGCCAGCGTGGCTCCCGCTGCCGTCACCCGGCTGCCGAGCCATGTGGCCCGGCCAGCGGCAACGGGAGCCAATTGGACATCTGCGATATAGATTTAAATGATCGGCTCTGAATTTTAACCCCTTTACTCCCTGCTGGGCCCTTCTCGCGGCTCCTGGCCTGGCCAGAGACGGTCACGCTCAAGTGCCGATCACGAGAGGCGCTCCCTCGAATGGGGGATTGCTGGCGGTCCTCAGCACCGGGCAGCCTGGAGCGCAGAGCGGGACTTGGCACCGCCTCGTAACTCCTGCAGGAACTTCGCTCTGTTTATGAACTTTACATATGAGAACTATTTCACTTAATTACAGCCTGCTTAAGTCTAAATAGAAAATCTGTAGGCAATAGATGGAGGCGATATGAGAACGGCGTGTTTGTGTTCAGAAGGGCGAGCGAAGGAAGAGTTCGTTAATGAGGTGTATTGGACGCGGGACAACTCCTGCGACCGTGCTATTTATTTTACTGGTTCTACCTCCATGGCAAGACCACATAATCTCAAAGTATCACATGAAACTTGCCTCAGAGTCTTCTGTAAATGTTAATAAATCCTCTCTGGGTTGATTATACTATCAATCAAATCAGACACTGAAAAGGAACAGAGAAAAAAGTTGGTAAAACTTGTCGTCAGTTTGTACGTGCGCACAGACGCACCTCATATATTACGGCAGCCAGAGAAAAACGCGGGGTATCAGCAGCAGCTCTCTAATACCTGGATCTCTCTGGCTGCATTATTTTACTTCAGCCTAAATAGCCGCTGCCTGTTGGTGTACTCCTGCAGCAATATGTCAGTGCCAAGTGGCATCTCCCTGCACGTCCCGGGCCTAACAGTGCCTGCATTCATCTGGGCTTGGCCTGCCCCAAGGGCCCAGCCAGGCTGCCCACCCTATGGCTTCTGCCCCAACCTCCGGCCCCGGTGGTCCTCCTGCTGGGAGCAGAACCGCTCCTGTGCTCAGGGCATCTGTGCCAGTGGGGTATGGACAGCACTGTGTGCTCTGCGGAGCTGAAATACCAGGGAATTTCTGCCCCAAATGAAGATTCTCTCCCCAGAGAACAGCTACTTGTTGAAGTTCACGTTTTGTTTTCAAGCACGAGTATGCCCAGAGATATGGGACGTTTTCGCTGATCCACTTTCCCCCAGATTTGTTTTATCCTCCCTTTTCTCTAGCGATCCACATTTCTCCCAAGAAAACAGCCCTGTTGTTGAGTTTCTGTGCATCTGTTCCAGTGAGACAGTTGAAGCAGGGCAGTATAAAGCAACAGATGCTTATGCTGGCACATGCCTAAATACCCAAGAAAACCCCGACTGCAGGGTGATAAATGGCACCGAGACGCGAATGTGTATCGCCTTTTCAGGGGATTAGACAAAAGTGAGCTGGAGGGATCTCCAAGCCATAATCTATTAAAAAGATTGATAACTTGTAACATGACATGACCCCCGCGTTCGTCTGTAGCTCCGTCCAGCGATTGTCACTGGTAAAAAAATATATTGGTTCGTACAGTATTTTTAATTAAGCTTTGTAATTAGGTCGATTCGTCACAGCCTCAATTAGCCCCCCCTTGGCAGCCGAGGATCGCGGCCGTGCGCGGAGCCCTTCCCGCAGCAGCCGGGCGTGCGGCGGGGCTGACGCTCTCCTCTTCTCTCTTGCAGTCCTGGTACCTGGGATAAAAGTCTCCGCTTCCCACCACGCACCGGACAGACCACCTGACCCCTTCCCACCTCTGTAACACGGAAGCAGCAGCATCGCAGCGCAGCGACTTCACATCGGCGGAAGGGGAGGCGAGCAGACACCGACAGCAAACTCGTACATGGAAATGGCAAACGTTATGGTTGAATGGCAAAGGCCGTAACTTTCTCGAGATTTTTTTTTTTTTTTTTTTTTTT